TTTCTCTCAAAAGGTATTTCATGACAATAAACTAAATTATGCTTGTTGCAGTATTTAGAGATAAATATCAGTGGAACTAAGTTCAACAGTTACAAATAGTTCTGGTTTTAAGAATTGAAATTTGCATTCAGGTAGCATAATTTTGACTCAGAAAGAATCTGAATGTATTTAGAGGTTTATTATATTTTATCATGTTCTGTTGAAACATGAAAGAACATGTTTGTCATCATCTAAATGGTGTGCTAGTGGGTTGGCATAATATTCAGTGAATGTGCAGTGATAGAAAGAGAGACCAATATAAAAGAAGATCGCCAAGACTTATTAAACGGTGACTGAAAATGCTTCCAAATTTGGGGCATTTTTTTGTTTTTACATAGATGCAACTGTGAATTTTGGACCCTGCTATTAGTAATACTAATTGTTATTAAAAGTGAGAAATTCTTCACTACATTTTATGCTCAACAAATAACTAACACAAACAGGCAGAGCCAGTTTCTGATCTTACTTCAGTTGTTGAGAATCGGTAAAATCAGTGCGATCAGTAGATGGACACAGATGTAAGTTAAGTGAGATTAGAGTCCTAATTTCTTCCGAAACACAACTGTGTTCATTGCAATATTAACATAGTTCTGCTTGAAGTCTGCTTAACTTTTCTTTTGATTTTCTCTGCCATCCCACTAGAAAATAAATTCTCCTGTATTTAAGATAATTGGAATCACTGACTGTAACATGTGGGGATAATCGCTGTCTGGCACCCCTGGAGACAAAGTACAAATCTTCTGACCTAGAAAGAAATGAAAATAAGAAAGATACCACAATCTAGACTTTCATCCAAAGGTAAGGGGAACTGCAAGCCTCATTCACAGAAAGCATTATTGTGGCAAGGGGACGTGGAGATATGGTGCAGGTTTGCCTGGCCCCGTGTATAGACCATCCAAGTTTGTGCTTCAAGAATGCTCCAGAGGGATTTGTTGAATTTTGGAGACTACACTGGGACAGCCTGGGTGTTCACAAACTGGCTGCAATGCCATTACAGTGAGGTTCACCTGGAAAGAATATTGTGCTGAGGAGATGAGAATCTGGCCCCAAGTATTCCCAGGTTTCTTTGAGCGACCTCTCCTAGACAGAAGCTGTTTGGTCTTTATAGAAAATGGCATCCAACAGCTTGGAAAGAAAAGCTGTTTTTCTTCCCATGCCAAAATTCATAAAATTTTGGACAGAAAAGTATGTTTTTATGATGAAGGTAAGAATTTATTGGACAATAAATTATTTGTTAAATTCCAATGATATGTTGGAGCCTGACAAGGATTATAGTTTTGCTGTCAATTCAATTACCCTAAACTTGTGGATGCTGGTTTAATTATTTGTTGCTGGTTTAATTAAAAGGCGCTTAAGTCAGTGCAAGTTTTGCCCCTGATGTCAATGAGATCAGTCACAGGTCCAAGTTGTTTTAACTCTTAGAGTGATTAATAAAGAGCAGATCTTTCAGAAACGCCATCACTCACAGCCACACACAGTTAATCTTGAGCTATCAGAGCCGAACACAACCTAACAACAAACTCATACCACTTAAGTGAGTGGTATGCGTTTATCCTAGAGTCTGCTAAACTACAAAGAGAGCAGTGACCTTTGTACTACAGCTAAGGATAACAAAGGTTGAAATGTATAAAGCAGATATTTATTATTTAAACTCAACAGAGAACGTGGCCGTAAGAAGCTGGACTTAAACAAAAAGATGGAAGGCACAATTTAGAGAAGACCACATGAGACAGAAGTAACTTTCCAGGAGATTTGAAATAAGTAAGAAGTGACTTCCCTCCAGTCTTCCCTGCTGCTGCTCTCCCCTCCAGCCATGTGGCAGAGCGGTCTAGGGCTGGGGGCACCAACCATTGCTTCTTTGTGAGACCACTTACATGGACAGAGGCCCCTCTTTAAAACAGCAAATTGGACTTTTGTTCCTCCAGTCCCAAAGCCTGTTCTTGAGCCTTCAGTGCCTGCATATATGCTGCAAATACTTTTCAGAGGAAGAAGAAACTTGCCTAGTCCCTCCTAAAATTCCTGCTCGAAAGTACAAGCCAGTGGCATTGAGCTCCTTCAAGCCCAGTCAAACAATAAACATCAGGAGATGGCTTAATTTAGCCATCCTAAGTTGACATCAGCCCAAGCCTGAACTGAGGAACCTTCTTCTCTGACACATTTAATGGGTCCTTCTGAGCCAAATGTCGGTTTCTGTGGTTTGTGCTGGATTGTGCCTTCTGAAAGTCTAACTACAGCCATCTCACTGCAACCTTTTTCATCACAGAGAGCAAGCTTTATATCCACAAGAGAAGCTGGGTCCACCTAATTTATTTGCTATTTCCCTCCAATCCAGCCGCAGTCTCACTAGACAGCTGTACGAATACATGTTCTCCAACCCAAGCTACAAAGAAGAACAGGAATATGGAATCAGATATTTGAGGAGAGGAATGTGAAGTCAGATGCGTAAGCACACTTTAAAATGCTAGCGAGGTAATGACATTCCTATATAGCTTGTTTTCAGGAGACAGTATTTGAACAAAGTCACCACACCTTAGCTAAAGAACAGAGACCTTTTGGAGAATCATGTTCTATGTTGTTTAGTTAATCTACTTTAAACAGTTAAGCAGTTAGTGCTTAGATGATGCACCTCTGAGCAAATGGCTAAACAGCAATCACTGTGCACTGGGATTTTCTGAAAAAAATCTATATTAGCCAAATTCATAAAAAGGGAAAAATACAAAGTAGCCTAGACACATATCAAAATAGTCAGTTCATCTAAATGTGAGTGCTAGTTGGACGGAGACTCTCTGTGACCCCCAGCAAGATATATGAGATACCTACTCCATCTATCTCAGCTTACATTTACATGGGAATAATATTGACTAGATCATGGGGCTAATAAATCATCTACCACTAGTTTGTCTGCTAATATTTGTCTGGCTCTTTGAAGATAATGTGATAATTATTAGTAGAACATAAAATCAGGAATTTCATCATAGATTGTGAGTTTTGTTTCAAGATGAAGACATCAAAATGCACACAGGACAACCAGAGCCTATTAGTGTCTTCTAAAGAATTTTTATGGCTGTTCCAAGCTTTAGTTACATAGTGTCTCCCATGGGTTTTTTTCAGTAAGCATGGCTTTTGCAGATCCTGGATTGAAAAAATACTCCAGGCATAAAAGAAGTTCCATGGATGAGAATTGCTGCAATGAAATGCAAATGAAAATAGACTATAGATTGTTCAGAAAGAGAGTATGTGTTCTCCAAATTTCTCTGAACAAGGCTCCCACTCTTTGGAGAGAATAATGTGGGTGTCAATAACCCCAGACACAAGCAATGGTAGACATCTTCACGTCATGTGCCAAAAATATTTGCTAATTTACTCAAAGACGGTTCCACTTAGTTCCATATCTAACTACAGGGATGGGTTTTTCTTCCTTAATGCTGCCACAAATAAATTGGCAATACTAAGCAGTCTCAAAGGCAAACTTAATGCCACAACTTATATATGATGAAAGAGATGGTTTGGCACCTGGTGGCTCTTTTCTGTTCCCTCACAAATCTTCTGGTGCTCATTCTAAGCCCCAGGTGCTCTCATTTGTTCCATCCCATGCCACATTCCCATGTCCTTCCCCTTCTTTATAGCTTCAGGTGACTTCCATGTCCTGCTCTCCCTCCTGTTCCTTATAGACTCCTCTTATGCCCTACAGATACCACTGCATGACGCAACGGTAGTATCTGCATGGGGGATAAGTGACTCAGGTGTGCAGTGACTTGGGCAAACTTATTGTGAAATCAAATTAATATTTCTCTGATTTTTAATTTTCTTTATTGACAGTGGTTTCATGTGCCAATTCTGGCACAGATATCATATGTTCACCATCATGACGCTGGACTGCAAGGCTCCCTGAGCGTACCTTTCCCTTGAAGGGGGAAAAAGTGGTATCATTCTAGATGTGCTTGCTTAGGCATTAAAATGCAACATTATTCATGGCAAATTGTTCGTGTCTATGATCCAGCCTTTCCCTTTCTAACAACAGACATAAAAGTGTGAACAACATTAATACTGGAATTGCCAATACTGGGAATGTGAGTTACAGCAAATGAGGACAAATGGGGTAGTTCATTACTCAATTATTACTTCAGACTCTCAGCAGACAGCAGAGATCATGCATTTTGTATATCCCACACTTAAAAAAAATAAAAATGGAAATTTAAACTACCCTGGAATATTAAGAATCAAGAGAAGATGGAACCTTACAAGTGCGATGTATTAGCACAACCTACCATACCTTTCCATACATACATGAATTTTGACTCTGGTAACTATTGAGACCTTCTGGCTGTTCACGTCTTTTCCTTGGTCTTTTAATGCATACAGATTTTAGTCTCTCTTTTTACATCCATGTGAACAAATATGAACAAATATCTTTGTATGTCCAAATGTGTAATAGTGTATGGAAAGTGAGTGTTTTATCAATGACAACAGAAGAACAGGAGTCTGCTTAGTAATGCCTATGTGTATTCCTTGAAAAGGTTTGAGTTTAAGCAATGAAAACCCTTTTATATAATCATTTTTATCCAGAAGAAACAACTGGGACATCACCAGCTAGGCTTCTCCTGAGGCCACCTGATGAGTAAATCAGTGAGAAACGGAAATGCCTTCTTTACAGGACCGGTGTTCCCTTGTTCTCAAAGCTTTTAGTCTTAACACCACATCAGGGCCACCAGCTTCCTCGAACCCTCTGGTACATACTATTCTTTCATCTGCCTGGCTGAAGAGCAGACCCAGCATTCAGTGACTGGTATCGCTGAACCCACGTTTTCTTGATCTCCCTGCCCTGATGCCGGTGGGAGCAGTAGCCTTTTCTTTGCTCTCTTGGCTTCTTTATATTCAATTGGCTCCAGAGATCCGCCCTCAGAGCCCGCCAGGACACACATGTCTGTCCAGCCTCCACCTCCTTCCCTTCACAAGATTAAAACAGACCCAGCAGCCTGCACCTCCCTCCCTGCTGGGTCCTGCGTGGGGCAGGAGGAGCTGTCTGCACCCACTGCTGCTCTCTTCAACAGGACTAATGAGAGGGAAGCAGGGAGTGTGACTATATACACCACGTATTCACATGAGAGAAGTGAAGAACGCCAGCAGTGAAGATGAAAAGCAACTGGTAAGAGAACAAGTGGGATTTAGAGAAATCTGTAAATAAGAGATTAGAACGGTTAAAGCTGTCCTTGCCAGCTGCCGCCTTTGTTGTTTGGTTTTATGACAGCATTATGTGAAGGAAATGGTAATAGAAAGAGCTTCATTGACATGTTTTATTATAAGGCAAAGATAAAAAGTTCTCATGTAAAGAAATCGTCTTGTCAAATCTGTTAGTAAATCCTTAACTCGGGTTTTTATACATTTAATATGCACGGCTCTGAGGAGAAAGTCAATAACAGAATCTGTCAGAAACTATACATTCATACTGGAGTTTTCTTTCTGTTTACAGGAAAATTACAGCTTCCTTTTACGTGTGTAGTTTTCTGTGGTCTTTCATCTCAGCCACCATCCAGCAACAATCAAGTAAGGAGACAGACTTTATCTGCATTTCATCTCTCTGTAATTTTGACTGTCAAAAGAATTATTCTGAGCTTGTTCAAAATTAAAATCCTCTCTAGCTAGCCATCACAGAAAGGGAGAACTGTCTATGAGGATGGATGGATGGATGCATATGAGAAAGAGAGGAAAAAGCAAGAGCTGTGTATGTTATTTTAAACTCGCTATTAGATGTATTTTTAAGGTAAGGATTAAAAGCTGGATATAAGTGGTAGATACAGGACACAAACCTCCCCCCAAATTTCAGTGCTCCTAGTTAAAAATTCTTCTACGTGTGGCAACAAACTGGTTCTACTTTATTTGCTGGGCATAAAATGTAAATGGCTGGATGTCAGCCATATGTCTCATCAAATAATATAGAATGAGGCTGTTTCTGAGGTGTAACATGTCAAGCTGAATGTTCCCTTTAAGTTTATGTTGTCAGAAGGAAACCCACATTTATGGTTGAGCCTTTGCAGCACACAAGAGGCTCTCTGTAGGTTAGAAATGCATCTATTTCCAACTTGCATGCTTCATTCTTCCCCATCCAGAATCTATTAACATTTTCCAGATTGACCTGATACTGGACTTGTACATGACTCTTAAACTCTTCAAATAAATGTTTATTTTTCCTTTCTCCTTCCTTAGGGGAATTAGGGGAATCTGGTAGGTTTTCATGCTCATTACAAGGCTTAATGACAGATAATATTCTGAAAAATTAGATTTTAAAATTTGGTTTCCTCAACCAAATTTCTTCTACATTCTTCTTTGGCTCAACAAAAAAGATCTGTAAGTTCTTCTTGCCTCCACCCTATATTTCATGAATGATCATTCTCTGATCAGATGTGGCACAGAGGAAGGTAGGAACACCTGGAATACCAGAGAGGGTGGAAAAGCTGCCAACAGTTTCTCAACGGCCTCTTTAGTTGGCATGAGGTTTGTTTAAGTTTCCTTGGAACTAGGGACACTGTTGATTTAGGTAACTGACTTTTTTTTCAAAGTTTGCTTAAACCACCAGAAGTTCCAAACCAAAAACTCCTTACACAGCAGGCCTTCTTATGCTACAACTATTTCTCCATAGCTCTGCAAGAGAAGAATTATTATAACGCTCACATTTAAATTCTTGGGAAAAAACCCTCAAATAATCAGTCAAGTTATAATTTTAAATTTGAAGCTCTCTAGAAAGAGATGCTTATTTTCTTACATCTCTGACTTCACTGAGTACAGTTTAAATTGATTATTATATACATCTAATTATTATTATTATTTATAGCACTATTTAATTCATAATATTCTTACAGTTGCTTTGCTTAAATTTTTAATGTGATCTGAGGCAATGTGCAGGCACATGGTTAATAAATTCACCCTTTTTTGCAGGACTACCAGTCATTCTGGGTGCCAGTCAGAGAACTGATCTCTGCCCAACAATCAGGATTGGCCAAGATGACTTACCAGGCAAGTAGCATTCCAACTTTTTCAGAAAAAAACTGCTCTTCAGAAACTTTATCAGGTTATATTCAGCTCTATGACTGCACAATTGTCTAATTAAATTAAAATGAAAGTTACATTCTGGACATGTATATTTTTTCTTGTAGGCTTTGACCTGATTTCTCAGTTCCAAATAGAAAAAGCTGCTTCTCAAGGAATTATCCAGAGAGTAGTGGGCTCCACTTCTCTACAAGTGGCTTATAAATTGGGACCCAATGTAGACTTCAGGATCCCAACCAGGTAATGCCTTTTGTAGTTTGACTTTGAAATACACGTATTTTGCAATATTATCATTTAAGGGATAGATCCTCTCCCCAGCTAGATCACTTCATTTGCGAAGCTTTCGGAAGGTGAAAGAGGAGTTAATTTTTTTTTTTTTCCCTTCATTGCCACCACCAGGCCAGACTCATTCTTTAACAGCAATTTCAGGAACTTCCACTTTCCTCTACCAATGATATTGGTCAGGGTGCCTCAAGATTTGCCAATAGAAAGGGATTCACTTCTAGGAAGTGAAGCCAGAAGTTCTTGATGACTTGAAAAGAGATAGGGAGGCGAAGAAAAGATAACAGGAGAGTGGGGAAAGTTTTCTTGAAGCATTGACACAAAGGGATTCTGCTGATCATGTAAGGATTGCAGAGACATGGTAGGATAAAAGCTGATTGTATGGTAAGGGGGTTTATTTTTCCTTTTTGGATAACTGGTACACACATGTTCCTGGCTGATTTATGGTCACTTAATCTATAAAAGATGAAAACTATTATTTAGCATGTCACAGGCAAGTTGCAATAGGAGCCAGGATTTAGGAATCTAATTGTGTTTGTGCTTTACAGGCCAGACTTGCTGCCAGTGAGGGAATAGAGACAGTACAGCAGGGCAGAGATGCCTTTGCCAAACCTAGGCAAGTCTGTACTCTGGTCCAGCATCTTATGTAATTAAGAATGCCTTTACTTAGCAATTAACTGGCAAGACCTTTAACTGGACTACTGTTTCAACTAGGAATAATAGGAGTGCAAAGTGTTTTTGTCATACTCTGGCTATCACTGACAACATTTGCTTGCTGCAGTCCTCCCTGGCTTCTACCTTTTTAGCCACCAGGTTAAGCTAGTTTAGAGCTTCACTGGTTGGTTACATTGGACTCATGGCTACTTTCCATCCCAATGGCAAATCAAGGCTGCCAGTGCATAATTGTGAATCCAACCACAGACAGTAAATGGGATCTTCATTTCACTAAAAGTTGGAGATTCTCAGATTTTCAACTCATGCTTCTTAGCTCAGAAACAGTCTGAGCTATCAAAGTGGTAATATTTTAATTTTTAAGAAAGTTTAGACTTATTGCTATAGATGGCTCTAGTGAGATATATGCTCCATATATACAAGTTATCCCTGACCAAGCCTATACCAGCTGTGTTAATACACCACGGCGTCTGAGCTGACTACTGCCACCGGGCTTGTTGGCTGGGTATGGTGCTGTAGTATCATGAATTTACCACATTCAGAACACCGACTGGTACTTCCCGTCAACACTGTGCTGTTACACTGCAATGCTACCTCATGGCATACCTGAAATTGGGCCCTGGCTCAAACTAAAAAGTCACCTGCACTTGAGCCGAGTGTCTTGTCCCAGCGTGCTGCTCCTCTGTCACTGAGCCTGATCCTGCTGCTCTTCTCCAGCGTTATTTTACAGCGTGCCCCTCTCAGTAAGCCAATTCAGAAGGAGTGAAGTTGGCAGTAAGCAGCTGAGGCTAACAGTACAGGAGAGGCATACCTGATGCCATTTCCAATATTTTTTCGAAAAACCAGAACTCTCCACGTTATCTTTATAATGTGGCGTGGTAGGTGGTACGAATTTGCAATGATGAAATGCCTGAGAAGCATAACAAGAGTTAGTAAATTACGCAGAGCACCTCAAGCAAGGCTGAGCATTTTCAGTGGCACGGGCATAGCTCTGGCTTTCCAAGACCCAACATTGCAGCAACCCTGAACTCCTGTTGCACTTCCCTCCGGCCACCCCCCCGCTATCCTTTATTCACACGTGGAGTATTTAACGATAATGTAAATATTTCCCTGGGTGGCAGCGGGCAGCAGCTGCATCCCGCGGCTGCAGGCAGGGGAGGAGGAGGAGGGCAGGGAGAGGAGGGAGGAAGAGCCGCCCCCCCCCGAGGGAGGAGGACCCCCCCCCCCCCGCGGAGCTGTCCGTGTCCGTGGTGCTGAAACACCGCCCCACCGCGGGGACCGGGGCAGCCCCGGGGGGTGACGGGGGCCGCCGTAGCTGTCGCCGGTCACGGACACAGAGGGTATAACCCCCCGGTTCATCCCTCCACCGCTGTGAGCTCCTGCTTCGCCAAGAGGTGAGGGAGGCAAGAGTGAGCTTGGAAACAATAGGCAGTGCTGTTTTCCCGATCTGGGTGGCTGACATAGGCATGAAGGCACAAGAGCTACAGGAGCACTGGGGAGGGACCCTCGATAAACACGTCAGGCAACAGCAAGCTCTGTGCCTGCTCCACTGCAGAGATCTCTCCTCACACCTTCGTTGAGCCATGTTAGTACCCAGTAACCCAACAGCCATGGACAATGTCTTCTCTTGCCTTACAAAATAGGGAGGGGTCACCCTAATTAAACCCGTTCCCCTATGTAAGGCATTCCAGGCTTTTGTGGAATGGGTGGGGAGGTGGGCACATACGTAGAAATGGCATGCAAGCCAATTGCACTATCAGCAGAGAGGACTTGCCTGTCACTGTTCAGTCAGTATTTATCAAAAATAGTAAAATATTTTTTTTAAACTAGCATATGATCATTATACTAATGCAGACAAGCCCATGTTAGAATGGCTGTGGAATGGGAATGAAAGCTCAATTAGATGGGCATGGCTGAGCATATTTATTTGGTCTTTGCTATAACAATAGCTTATGCCCTGAAAAGCTTACATAGCTTCCTTAAAACGCTACTAAATTGTAGCTTGGTCTTTTTGCTGCTTAGCATACTTGCCGAGGTATATCCAGAAGTATATCCCAGAATGAACAGAAATGATAGCATACAAGCCTTGACTTAAGCTTCTCCCATCATCCACATAAATTCCCACTGGCCATTGCTTTTTCTAGCATAAAATCTGCTGAAGAGTCAACTGTTCTTCGTGTAATTAGAACCTGTGAAACGGCCATGACTCATGGCCATTGTCTCTGACATAGCGAACCTGTCATTTTTCAATTTATTCTATGTACCTGTCGTAGGTGTCCACCAGTTAGTAAGTACAAAATTAATACTGGTAATTTGGATAATAATCGTATTGATTTTTAATTGCAAGCTTTAAAAAAAAATTAGCACAAAGGAATATGTTCATGATATGTTTTTATTTGGGGAAAAGCTATCTTTATGTGCTGGATGAAATCTTAATCCTTTGACTTCACAAATGCAGCTGTCACATCACAAGGCCCCTGTGTCCACATGGATAAATTAATGCCGGGGAACATTCCAAGGCATTCACACTCAATCATCTATACTGTTAAAATATTAAACAAGACTTTGGCATGATTTGGGTCCAGACTAATTAGCACTCTTTAAACAATTCCTGGGCACAGCTTGGCAGTTAGCATAGGCCATGGACCATTCCCAATAAGCAGCTTGCATATAGTGTAATATTTTGGAATTAAGCAGGTTTAAACTTTTTCATGACAGCTGAACTTAGTATCAGAGAACAGTCCTGGGCATACTGAATTTAGTAACGTGGAGGCAGCCTATGAATCCAGAAATGATACCTCTTCGCTTGCATCCTCATCTCAGTAGAAAGCAGAGCAACATAAAAATTGAAGCTGTCTTTTGAACAGTGTTTATATTTGGGGTAGTGGTGTACTGCAAACCACTTTAACAAATGACATGACAAATACATTACAATAAGAAATTCTAAAATGAAAATAATAAGTTTATAAAGCTTTATCAGTAAGCTTGGAACACCCAGAGAATTCGATAGGCTGATTTCCTGGGTTTTTTTCCCTTTGGGAATAATGCTTCTCTGTGAAGTAATGCTCCTCAAATGCATATGCCTGAAGGTCTGGCTTTTCTACGTCCAGCCACCAAAGTTCTTAAGGTGCTCTTCCTTTTGCATTACAAGTAAGTTATCTTACATAGTACCGCTCCATTGATATTGATGATGACATTGTAATGGAAAAGACAAAATACAGCTAAAAGGCTAATTAGCTCATAAGAGAAATAATTAGCTCAGAACTGGATGTTTCTGAAGAACAGAGACCAGCTGAGGGTAATGAGTCCTAGCAAATGACTTCTGGCTAATGACTTAGGACAGTTGCTTTTAAAAATGCTTAGCTAGTTTTTATTGTTATTGCTTCTTTGATGGCTGCCAGATAGTGCCTGCCAGGTCAGCTGTGATTCTAGGAGGCTTCAGGTGGTGCAGACCCAAGTGCCTCCACCTTCAGCAAAGGAACCCACACCCGTGGGCGTATGATACCGCATTATCATTAGGCTGGCCAGAGGAATTTCTACAGCCACCTCTAGTGGATTGCACTGACATTTCTAAACTCTTCATTTAGCAACCAGTAAGTTATCTCAGTGGCAATGGAGCTCACCTAAGAAATTAACTCTTAAAAAAACAGGTTTAATAAAATAAGCAGTTATTTTGTAGTATTCAAATCAATACATAGTTAACCTCTTAAAATACTCTGTTGCTCTTGATGACTTCCTGAAGTCAGTGGGATTATTCAGGGCTTCCACCACCAAGCCAGATGACTCGTCTCTGATATATTGATGCCTTGGTAGGACTTAGCCTTGAAATCTTAAAGAAATCTTGCTGGTAAGCACTCAAGGTATGGGATTAATAAGACTTTTAGGTATTTATGAAAAAGATTAAAATAAAACAGTAGTGCTTCAGAAGTTCCCTTAGATGATTACAAATGTTTCGCCCTTCTCCCCCAAACTGTATTTAAAAAAAAATTAACCAAGGACTCAAATATCTTATAAAATATTGGCCTGATCTTGCACTCATTTCACGCCTAAAGCAGTTAATACTAGTTCTGAATACACAAGGAAAGCAAGACTAGACTGCTATCTTACAAACTTAAGATACAAAAATGAATTAAAAAAAAATGCTTTAATGGCTTATATCCCTGGCAATTTTAAGGGGGTAGAAAATAGGTCGGGACTTAATTTGGCCTGCATACTTGAAATAATTTTGATTATTAATTCTTCCTTTGCTCATCCGCCTGATTCTAAGTTTAAAATTGCTTGATTTCCTTCCATAAATTAGTGGAATTGGAAACATGTATGTTAAAAATAATTTATGGAAATAATTTAAATGCTCGTATAGCTACCACCTGTTCAAGATTACAGAATCCAGCACACTTCACTTTGCAGTGAGATGAAAGAATAACTGCTCTACAATTGTCTATTTTAATATCACGATAAATTTGCCATGGCTTCCAAACATTTAGCATTGTAAGCTGCTGACTTCAGTAGGGTTTTTGCCTATGTAAAGATCACAGGCTTTGGGAAAAACTGTGTACTGAAATACACTGCTCCCACTAAAGCAAATGGAATTGCTTTTTGTTACTGTTGGAGTAAGTGAGATGAGAATCTGTCTCTGCTTTATTTGTAGAATTATAGGTACAAATCTTGTAACAGCCCCCTGCAGAGTACCTTTCTGGTGATAGGTCATGTTGTGCTTAGTTATGTTGACTCACATTTCTGATACTAAGTCTTTGGTCTAAAGCCAGCAGATATTCTGATTGGTTATTGAAAGTTTTTTAAAATGTAACTATTTGTCAAGGCTTGTGTACTGACTTTTTATCATCTTTACTGTTCTATATAAGTTTCTTATAATTTAGTTTTCTCTTATCAATGACAGAAGTTCTTACATAATTTCTCTTCCTTGTATATCACTTGAAAAAGTTAACATATTTCTTTTCTATTTTAATTTCTAAAAAGAAGGAGGACCCATATGATGGCTTGTAAAGGACTAACGCTATAGCTAAACATGGTGCAAAGAATCCTTTTGCCAATCTGGCATAAACAATCTCCTAATCAAAAAGTGTAACTATATTTGCTTACTATTTTTTGTTTGTTTGTGTTTTTTTTCCCCACAGTATAGTTATGTCAGCTGAGGTAGGGTGAGAATGTGTGTGATATTTTAAACAGTATTGCCATGACAGCAAAACTTATCAGCGCAGAGAAAGAATGAAAACCTCTCCTCAGAGGATCTGGGATTAGCAATACCTCCTTCAGCTGCAGAGCTTGGCGCATCGTTTCCCTAGAGTTGCTGAACTTGACAGAGAGAAAGTGGAATGTCAGATGGAGGCTAGTTAAAAAATTACCCAACAATACCACCTTCAATGAGGTAGTATGAAAACCAGCTCTTGTGCGAGAACAGACAGTGGGATTCAGCAAATGAAGAGATAAATGCCTCAGCTGACCTAAGGTTTTAGCAGCAGAGGACATTGAAATACCTGCTTAAGAGATATTATGGAGGATGAAGGACACTGAGGGCCATAAAAGATGTGCTGAACTGAATCAGAAGCTTAACAAGAGTCTAATATGTGTCTGGATAGGGAGAGGGAGTATGTTCCTGGAGCAGGAAAGAATATATAAATATATTCGGTAAGCTAGAAGCCTAACCAAAGGACAGGGGACAGCAGCATACACTGGAAAGTGCTCAGAACAGGAGGAAAGGTGGAATGTCCATGCATTGTCATTTGCATTTAAAATGGCAAGATACAAACTGAAACAAAACAATAAAAGAACACAAGTTAGATAAATTCCTATCAGACAAAGCCAGCTGGGACAGACTACTGCATCCACAATCAACAGAGACACAAGTCATAGCAAACCACAGGCAGTTTAAAGATATTGGCAAGGAACCCCCTGTCCCACCTTTGTATATCTCCACACTTTGTGCAATGAGATAATCTTCTAGCTAAACATTCCCCTCCCTCATACACCAGCTTTCAGGTGCATGTAAAGGCTCATGGGGAAAGAGGAGAAACACCAGCAGTTTGGGTAGTGTATTAATAAGGTGAAGCTGCTGCTGCTGCCAGGCTTGTCCCGGTCCTCACTGAAATCATGCTGAGGCTGTGCCGTCGCCTGCTGGAATATGATTGCACTACAGCTTTGGACACTTTAACACCAAACAATGAACTGTAGAGACTCTCTTACTAAATCAGTAGTCATCAAGCATGCAGAATAAGAACTAATTCCTTCATTTTTTTTCATTTCCCCCTCCCCCCCAGCCTAGAGCCTGAGGTTCACTAACGCTGGCTAAATTCCT